CGCTTTCTGGGTCAAAACTACTCGAATTTCCTCACTCACGTTGTTACGACTGAATCGACTTTTCAATTCTCTATCCAACGGTGCCAAAACGAATTGTGTGGCTCGAATGGTTCTTGAGAAACTTCGAATAAAGGCCATTTAGTTATCTCTGGAATGGAAAAAACGAGCGTTCTTGCTCATTTTGCTTCCGAGAAACATGCAAAACGGGACGGAAAACATGAAATTTAGCAATAATCTTGCGCCACCCTTGCACAAAGCGACGATCATTTTTCTAATTTGTCATCTGTTTGTCGCATAGATGAAAGTCAAGTGATGTTAAATCGGGAGATCGATGCGGCCATTGTTCTAGGATGGGGTGAATTTCCACCAAAGAAGGTGGGGAGTTTTGGAAAATCTACATACACAGCGCGACGCAAAAAAAGGAAGCCTTATTGACGGTTTAATATCCGCAAAGTTGTTTGCCCATCTACAGGGTGTTGAAGTTTGCAACGTTTTGAACTATTTCGTTTTTAGTATTCAATTTCCGTGAGAGCGCGTGAAAATGTTTCCCAGCAAAATTAATAATAAAAAAAGTCAACCTGTGCACGCTGCAATGTAAAGAAACGCCCTACTGGGTGGAAGAGCGTCAATTTTCCCAATTTGAATATCCACTTGTCCTTCTGAGCCTTTCTTCGCATCCTCTTCTGATCCCGCCACCACATTATATCTGTATGGGACGACCCGGGGATGTTCTTTGGTTTCAGACATTTTTCCAATAAATTACACACGGCCGTATTTGAAGTGATACCCGGGGTTGAACTAGTTTGTCGTCGTTTCTCACATAATTATGTGGCACTTGGGACCGTCCAATGCTTCAGTTGTTATCATCAATTGAAGATAATAAAACGTGTAAACTGAGATTTCGCTTTTCAATTACGGCTTTCAAAAGCTGTGTAAATGATCGCACAGAAACCACTTGATTACAATATAACAGTCAAGTAGGTACAGCTACGTAAAAATCCTTTTCACATTTATGTTATAGTTATTAATAAAATGTATAACTGGAATAGTATGGGAACCTAAACTGATAAATACATACTTAAGCGAAAAACAATCGATAAAATTTAAAGAGGAAAAGTTGCGAAATTTTCTTGACTTCTGCTGGACCATTTTCCGGAATTTGCGGCTGGGCTAATAACAGTCTTAAGACTCAACAGGAGAATGAGACAGCAAAATGTAATTTTTCTTCTATATTTTTGACGCTCCCAGTAAATAGTTGCAAATGGGGAAGCTAGGAGAAACTTCCATGCTTTTAAGCATTTTTCTCAGTTAAATTCGATCTGCACATGTTTAATGAGATTCAAGAGGAACTTTTTGATTTATTGGGATATTTTCAAAGTGTAGCCTTTTTGTGTCCAGTTTTGCACACTACATATTTCTTACGAGAGCAATTTAATTATAAACCTTGTTCAATGCTTGGGCGCTAGTGGATGGTTTTCTCAGACGCACTCAGCCATGTTGAGTTCTTTAGCCGCCAGATAAAGTTATCCAGATATGCAAATACCGGTCCTTAATACATATAGATTGGTCCTCAACTAATGTAACAAAATTCCCTGATTAAGCAAAAATATTGTTAATGGATTGCGGGGTACAGGGTGTCAAAAAAACACTAACGCCCTTTTTCAGAAAAATTTGCCCTTAAAAGAAGACCACCCTGTACACAACATGACCAGATTTGGAAATTACGTTGCAAAAGATGTTTAATCAAGGATTTTTTACTACAAGAACCTTATCTCTAGAGTCTGGTTGTAGATAAATTAGGTCGTGATTGCTGTTGATTTCTGGATTCTTCTGACTTTTGCTCTTCAAATATCGCTTCTTGGTGCGTTGTTAAGCAGTTTGCAAACTGATTACCCTCGTGTCTTGTGCTAGATCGAAACTGGAACAATCAACAAGAAAATCGTCGATGGAATTGTTTTCCATCTGAATTTATCATCGCTTTCACTCTTCAAGTGTTTGAACAGTAAACAGTTTTTATTAATTTTAAGTGTTTTCATTTATTTCGTTCCACTAACAATTGTTATCACTTGTTCTCAGTGGCGTCACTGTTCCAACAATCAGCAAAATACGATTTGCTCGAAAAAAACAAACAATCAAACATTTTCAAGAGTTTTTTAAAGACACTGCACTCTAAAAGGAGCACCCTGTATATTATACAGCCAGCTAATTCGCCACCACTTAATTCTTCATTAGCCAGTTTTCCGTGTAAAGCGAAAAAAATTGGCCAATTATTTGGGATTGGGCAAAGGTTAATCGCACATTGCATCATACTAAAAAAATGAAAGTCAAACAAGCAGTAAAACAGCTCGAAAAACCGCAACCTACTTGTTGAACTTCAACGCATCTTTATCTACGTTTTCATTTTTTCATTTTATTTTCAGATTTTAATAAACTCACAACCCACTTTAGATTATCTGGCAATTTTTCTATTTCATTCCGTAAATGAATCCATGTTTTTTTCACTTATTCTGGGAATGCTTTTGAACACACACAAGCCACCACGAGAAGACTGGTTTTTCGGGCCAATTTTTATTTTATACCCATTATGAATTGTGGTATATACAGGGTGTCGCAGTTAACACCTTTTTAGGTATATTTATCATTAGTTTTTGGCGCTTCGCTATGTAAATCTTGCTACTTGCGAACTTGCAAAGTTGAAGCGGATTTTTCGTGAACATCGCCTTTGATTGGCTAAAGCCGCAAATGGTAAAAAGCAATTTGCATCGTAATACCGCATTATCTATGCCTGAAAATGAAGCAAAACCACTTAGTTGATACATTTAAAAAATATTTATAGCCATAAATTGTGTTGGTTCAAAGTGCATTGTAAAGCTTACCAGCAACCCGGCTGGTGATTCTTATTGGTATTCTTGATGGTTAGTTAATTAAGAAATGAATGTGCTCGATTACATAACATTCGGGTCTATTTTTGGCAGCCAAAGGATATATTAAAAATTCGCTAATGAATTTACCTGAATTTCTTCATACAAGGTGGTCAGAAAACAGAAAAGTTTGGAAGCTTCTTCAAGTAGGAAGTGTAGCCGTTTGATAAACAGCTGCACTTTCTACTTTTTGCTGTCAATAAAAGCAATTTTTTTCAATTGTTGGTTGTGTAATAGATGGAGTTATTATTAAATTAAATATTCGATGTTCACTTTTTGAATTAGCTGCGCTCTCAACGAAACCAAGCGCATAGACACATTTTTATTGTGAAACAGTTTCAAATATGAGCGTCAAGGGTACTTTGCAAATCATTTTCATACTTTACGTTGTTCTCCAAGAGGTTGTTTTCCTTTCCTCCCTCATTAATTCCGAAACAATGTTGATATTTCGCCGCCTGATTAGATTGGAATTAAGTGTCGATTATTCTTCAAGTATTTGAGAAATACGTATGGTTCGATTGATTGAACTAAGGGGCAGTTAATTGTGCGAGCTGTGTTAATGCAAAATGTTCGAATACTCTGTTTACACTATATTAACAGGTAAATTCACGCAAAGTACTTAGTTTAGTATTAGTGGGCGTTTGCTCTCTATATCAGGTTCAGCTGCTGACGAAAGAATTTTTTATTTAATTGCCGATGTTCGATGTAATTTTCTGCATCAGCGATGCCTTGAAGGATTAATTTTTTAAAATCACTACCAGCTTAAACTGAAACTTTTCAGCTCTAAATAATCATTGCAGTCTCGCTTAATTAAATCGTAGTGATTACAGTCCTTAAAATGCATTAATTTTCAATTTTTCAGGCCGCTTCTTGTGTGTTCACGTGCGCGTTTGTATTGGAATAAATTCAGTAAATCAAAGTTAATTTTCAAAAAATTGTGCAATTTATAATTGCACTCATTTTAATGTAATCAAATGTTTTAGTGGCTGTTTCAATTTTATCGACGGTATTTTTAATTGCCAACCTTATTTTTTGTTCTTTAAAGCTTTTTAAATATTCAAATACCTCCAAAGAAAACAGTCCATAGGAGTTAAATCCGGAGGCAGGAGAGGCCAGAACGGATCTTCCTCTACCAATTCATCTGTCTGGAAATACATCAGCCAAATTCGGAATAAATTTAAAAACAATTTTTAAGACTTCCTGTCAAACACTCACTGATTGAATTTGCTGAATGTTGAGTGTGGGTTTTGGCTCCCTTATTTCACGATTTACTTGACCGTTCAACGTAAACATTGATCAGACAGAAAAAAATATCTTTTCCCTGTTTTTAGTTTTTAACTAAAGAAATCCATCTGGATCAAATTTGGTGAGTTTTTGACGATTCGCACTGTATAGTAGAACTAATATTTTTCTAGATGATATTTTGTGGCTTTTTGAGCGTTTGGCGCTCACTATTAATCAAGCTGATTTAACCATTTTTGTAACATACATAATTGCCAAAATACCTAAATTCTTCTAAAGTCACTAACTTTAAATTACACAGAGTTCGCTTTAAGAACCGCATATAAAGATAGACATTTCATAATGCACATTTTTGCAACAATTTTGTGAGTGAATCTCTCTCACCAAGATAATAAGTTACTTTCAACACTTCTTTCACCTTCTTAGTTAACTGAAAGTTCAACTAATTTTCACATTTTCCGTGTCTATTTAATGTTTCTGTATCATTTTATTCTTTGTACATACTCACTCGTCCATTTCCTATTTTCGTTTTTTTTTACATTGAAATACACCTGCTGTGATCGCTCGCCATACCTCTGAAGATTCTGGTAATGAAAATTTCGATTCTGAAAAGTTTGGGTAATTCTGCAACACTTTTGCTAAGTCTACCTTGCAAAGATATTTGGTTTTTTGACCGTCATAGATAGGAATTTAGTCCGAACGTTTCGATAGCATGCATATCTACCATCTTCAGAGGTATGTTTTGAAGAAGAACAGAACACAAGACACTGAAGATGGAAGCTCATGAGGATTAATAGGTTGGAAGCGGTTCCTGGTAACGTTTGTTTGTGAAGCCAAAGGACAATTTTTCAAAGTTCCTTAGTATACCTAGTTGATAGTTTTCCATAAAATTTTCTGTCGCACTTTGAAAAATTCACATTTTTTTACCATTTTTCGAAATTTCATAGCTCACATCTAATTACAATGTTTTAATCGAAACGCCTATTGGTTCCTTAAACACTTCATAAAGATTAGTATCCTTCGATTGTTCCCTTGGATTTCTTTTTAAAAATTGTTTTTGGGGTTCGTTGGCCTTTAAATACACATAAACAATTGCTTTTCCTTACTTTTACTCACCGAATGTAAAAATGGATATCAAATATTAAACATAATGAAAAATCAGTATTACTAATCTAATTTATACATTTATGCTACTAAAAATATCAACATTTTACAATGAAATTATCAACACTAGAAAAACCGAAACTTTTACAAAATGCGCTTTTAGTAATTTTTGAAGAGCTATTGACTGATATTGATTGAATCGGGAATATTTTGGTGGAATGGCTCCTGAAAAACGGGTATTAATTACGGAATGAAAACCATAACAATGCAAATAAAACGATTTAAAAAAATGCAAGAATCTTATTGAAAACTCTGAAATTTTTCGTCTATATGCTTATCTTCCGATATCAAAGTATTCTTTTCCTAGAATGTTTTTATCTTTTGTTCATTTTTTTTGCTAATTTCGAAAATTTGAGAAAGTTTGAAAATCTGTGAAATTTTGTGTGTCTTTGTTCGAATAACTCTGGAAATTCTGCATCATTTTGCATTTTGATACTCAGCTTTAATATTGTTCTTCAATATTCTTTTTCCACAACGAAAAATTACATTTTTGCATTTTACATTATTAGGTACTTTGAAGAAGGCGAAAATATAATTTTTTGTTGTGGAAAACAAATATGGAAGAAGAACATTAAAGCTGAG